TCCTGAGCAACCCATCACATTGTCCCATGGAGCTGGCCCCAGATTTCATTTTTTATTACTTTTTTATTTTAATGATAGAGCTGAGAGAAAGAGCACCCTCTGCAGAGTGGTTCCATCTGCTGTGATCCCTTTCTTTAGTCCTCCAGTCTGTCAGATCTTAGGCACTCCTATATGTGTTCAGTGTGTTTTAGGCTGACCCCACCAGGGATTTGAACTGTGGTTGTCATGTGAGAATCTAGCTTTTCTTGAGCACTGTATTATTAAGACATATAGTCTGCCCCAGATTTTGTTTTCAATTGAATTTTTAATTGTCAGAGAGCATGTGCACTTGCCAGAAAGTACCCCCAATAGGAGGTGGTCATACTACAATGGTTTTTCCTACATTTCTTTATCCCAGCAGGATTTTGGACATGCATACACATTTGTGATGTGTTTTTCAAGCCTCCAGGACTAGGATTTGAACGACATTAGGCTGTGAAGGATCTGGTTCCAATGCACAGCACTGTACTATCAGGGAAGCCCAGTTGAATCTTTCAGTTTAATGAATATTGTTCCCCCCCTCCCCCCTCTCTAATTTTGTCAGAGGAGGGATAGAGTAGAGAGAGAAAGACAGAGATATAGATACTATATATTGGGTCTTTTGTGTGGCTTTAGTGGGGATGACAAGTTTGTAATTGAGAACCGCCAAATCACAAAGCCTCTTACCTTCTCTTTAACAGATGTCTTACTGTGCCTGGCAAACTATAGTCAAGGGGGTGATGGTCCTATGTGTCGCCCAGTAATTCTGTTGCCTGGAGAAGACACTCCTCCCTTTCTAGAGCTTAAAGGATCACGCCATCCCTGCATTACCAAGACATTTTTTGGAGATGATTTTATTCCTAATGATATTCTAATTGGCTGTGAAGAGGAGGAGGAGAAAAATGGTCAAGCCTATTGTGTGCTTGTTACTGGACCAAATATGGGGGGGAAATCTACACTCATGAGACAGGTAACTGATCATTAAGATTTTGTTATCAGAAAGTAATCTGTAACATAAGCCAGAAAGTGCCTTAACTTATGACTCCCACATGTATTAACACATTAAGGCCATTACTTTCTTTTTTATGCCCCCCCCCATGTTCATGATTGAATATGCTTGGGCTCTCTCCCTAACACCATGAAAGAGCGTGCTTAGGCATGAGCGAGAGAGAAAACATGAGAGAGAGAGAGACATACACAGACCAGACAGACATAGTGAGGTAGATAGATGAGTATCCTCTGATCCCTTTTTTCCAGTCTTCCAGCTGATCCAGTATTGGGCACTTATACCCAAGCCCAGCATGTTTGAGACTCAGGGGTACAAGAATTTGATTTGTGGTTGTCATATGGGATCCAACTTCCCTCCATGTGCAGACCATTGCTGCACTATGGAGCTAACCCAAGGCCATCATTTTCTTTCCTTTAATTTAAAGATACATGTCATTTTCTAAATAGCACAGTTACCTAAAATTCAGTTACTAATATACTGGGAAGTCAAGAAAACGTGTTAAAAGATTGAGAATTATATTTGCCTTATCAGTCAAGTATATCTGCCTAATGTTAAAGGAAGTATATGTTAAAGGAAAGAGAGGTTTCAGATCATGAGGCCCTTTGGACTTCATTAAATTAATGAAAAACAGGAAGGTTGTATGTAAGGGGAGAAAAATAGTATGGTTTACTGTTCCCTCCCTTGCTGTATTACACTCTGTTTACTTAATTTTTTAACTAGAGACTAGTTAAGTATGGTGTGTTGCAGTGGTTTTCAACCTTTTTCCCTTTTTATTTTCCTTCCAGTTTGTTATAGGTTGTGTGCACTCACCAGAGGTTGGGGGAGGGGGCAGTGGTGAGAAATCAACTCCCTACAGGGGATGGCCATGCTGCAGTCCCTTCTTTTATCTTCTTGGGATTTTGGGCACACATGCGTACCTGCTAGGTGTCATTTTTAAGCTGCCAAGCCCAGGACTTGAATTGTGCAGCCAGCCATGTGGGATCCAGCTGCCTTAACTTATGCACTACTTGTGGACTCACCTCACACTCTTTTTTTTAGTTGCCAGAGAGCCATATCAACCATGTGGGATCTAGTTTCTCTTGAGCTGCTTTTTAAAATCAGAATCTGAAGGATGCTACAGAAGAGTAGAGGAGTTGCACCCCCTGAAATGGATGTTTGATCCAGAATTGCTTCTAGGTATTACTAGTTTATAAAGATTCTGTTGTGGGACCAGCAGATGGCTTAAAGATTACATCACTGGACTCCCACATAGTTGACTGCTGTTTGAGTCCTGGATTCAGCAGCTTAAAACTTATGTCAGGCACGCGTGCACGCCCAAAATCCCAAGGGGAGAAGGGATTGTGTGGCCATCCCTCGGGGTGATTTCTCGCTCTCTGTCTCTACAGCGAACACACGCCCTATAGCAAAAATCTCTCTCTCTAAAAAAAAAAAAAAAAAGATTGTTCTGTAGCCAGGGTTGAGAATCATGTGCATGTTGTGGGTTTGTATGAAGGCTCTGATCCTCAGTTTTCTCTTTAGTGGTGAGTATACAATGTTCTAGATAGGATCTCCAGTTCTGCCTCAGCTTCTGATTAGCTTGGACTATTAGTAGTAGCACATATCACACTGCACCTAGCTTTTAGGGTGGGCTGGGAATCAAATTGGAGCCTCCCATATGGTTTCAGCCTGCTGAGTAGCAGTATCCAGTACATATTGCCAACACTTTAAAATACCAATCATAAAAGACCTTTTCTCCCTCATTCACAGGCTGGTCTATTAGCTGTAATGGCTCAGATGGGTTGTTACGTACCTGCTGAAGTGTGTAGGCTCACACCAATTGATAGAGTGTTTACTAGACTTGGTGCCTCTGATAGAATCATGTCAGGTGAGTGTCATCCTCCCTTCCTATGGTATTTCATCTTTTTGTTGTATCACTATGTAGCTCATGATAGAAATCAAGTGATATGACCTAAAAGATAATCTGCTTATTAAATCATTTGTTTCTAATTTTGTTTTTTTAGGTGAAAGTACATTTTTTGTTGAATTGAGTGAAACTGCCAGCATACTTACACATGCAACAGCACATTCTCTAGTGCTTGTAGATGAATTAGGTAAGACATTACAATTTTCATTTGAAGACACTTCAGATGTAGACATTTAAAGACTAAGAACGTCCCTATTGAATGCACTCACTGTTGTACCACGGACTCATAGTTGGAGATAAGACACCTCTTAAGATCTTGGGGTTGGGACCAGCAGTTAGTGTAACAGCTATGTTGCTGGACTCCCACGTAGTCTACCACGGTTCAAGTCCTGGACCCGGTGGCTTAAACTCACGCTGGGCGCGTGTGCATGCGTGCCCAAGATCCTGAGAGGAGAATGGAGGAGAAGGGATTGCGGCGTGGCCGGATCCCCCCTGGGGGGTGATTTTTCACTTTCTGTCTCTGTCTGTCTGGCAAGTGCACGATAGAAAAAACCCCCCAAAAAAAAAAAAAAAAAAAAAAAAAGACTTACTTGGGGCCACAGGTCAGGTGTTAAGGCTCTAGACTCCCACATGGCCAACCACAGAGTACCAGACCCAGTGGCTTGAAAATCACGCATGTGCGCTCCAAATCTCAAGGGGATAATGGAGGAGAAGGGATTGCTGTGGGATCATAACCTCTTGGAGGTGATTTCTTACCCTCTGTGTGTCTCTGTCTATCTCAGGCCAGCACATGGGTCCTATGGCAAAAACCTTAAGAAAATAAATACTTGTGAATACACTAACAGTAACTTTCTGACCTCGAGCAAGTACGTTTTTATTTTTTTAATTTGCTGTAGGCCATGCATTCTCACCAGAGAGAGAAAAAGTGAGAAATCATCCCTCAGAGGGAAGGGATAGCCATGATGCAACCCCTTCTCCTCTTGGGATTTTGGGCACATGTCCCTTGTGCCCACTGTGTTCTCAAGCTACTGGGTAGAGGATGTGAACTGCAGTCGGCCACATGGAATCCAGGTGCCTTAACCACTGGATGGCCCATGAACAGTACATTTTTTAAAAGAACCTTTTATTCCCCGAGGGCTGCTGAGCAGACCTGTTTAGCTTACCACTTTTGGGATGTACTAACTGATGTTACTTTCTCTAACCTGTTTAACGTTATTTCTTCCTGAGGTACATCCTTTTTGATGTAACCGGTAGATTGTATAGTATACAGTTTATGCATATTTTACTCTTACAGGAAGAGGTACTGCAACATTTGATGGGACAGCAATAGCAAATGCAGTTGTTAAAGAACTCGCTGAAACTATAAAGTGTCGTACATTGTTTTCTACTCACTACCATTCATTGGTAGAAGATTATTCTCAAAATGTTGCTGTGCGCCTAGGACATATGGTATGTGGAAATTGTTCTTATTCAGTAGTTGAGTTTTTTAGGGATTTAAGTCAGACAAGAATATACCTAATAAAATGTTTCTCTTTTAAGGCATGCATGGTAGAAAATGAATGTGAAGACCCCAGCCAAGAGACTATTACCTTTCTCTATAAATTCATTAAAGGGGCTTGTCCAAAGAGCTATGGCTTTAATGCAGCAAAACTTGCTAATCTTCCAGAGGAGGTCATTCAAAAGGGACATAGAAAAGCAAGAGAATTTGAGAAGATGAATCGATCTCTACGATTATTTCGGTAATAATTGGATATAATTTCACCATCCAGCTGACCTTACATTTTCTGGGAGGAAAAAACAGTAGGGGGAGGGATGAGTAGGGGGAGGGATGATGCACTGTGAGAAAAGTAAAACCAAATTTTTTTTTACTTTAAGGGAAGTTTGCCTGGCTAGTGAAAGGTCGACTGTAGATGCTGAAGCTGTCCATAAGCTGCTGACTTTGATTAAGGAATTATAGACTACATTGGAAGCTTTCACTTGACTTTCGACAAAGGTGGTAAATTCAGACAACATTATGATCTAATAAACTTTATTTTTTAAAAATGACCATTTTTTTCCATTTTCTTTCTAGGAAATTAAACCCTTTTAATTCTTATCTACCTTCTACATAATGGTTATTGAATACTCCACAATATATTAAGTCTAGATGTTATGGTACATGCATACACTTTCAGGCTGTTTATACCCACTGTCACCAATACACATAAATGAGGGGGAGGGAACTATGAAACTGTATAGGGCTGTATATATACTTGTCTCAGCTTAATGCAGGAAATTGCTTTAATTTCCAGCAGTTTTATCTAAACTGTTCAAAAAAAAACTATGAACAGAGTTCAAATACAGGACTGTTTTGAAGAGACTTTCTAAAGTGTACTTTAAAACATAGTAGTTTTTACCTTTCACAAAACTGAGTTACAAGAATACTTTTGTTTTACAGTGCATCCCTTCCTAGGAAGTCTCAATAAAACACTCACTTTTTCTAGGGGTGATTTTGAATGTTGCACAGGAAAGGGGAGGAAATAATAGTTTTAACTTTTCTTAAAGGATACCAGAAACATTGCTGGATATAATTTAAGATTAGTGTTTTCTCTTTCATAGAAAGAACGTACATACTGGGACATGAGTACAGTTACAGCAAGTCTAGGTGTGCTAACAAAACAGGGCACATTCAAGTACAATAAGATTTGCTTGAAATTAAAAACAAACTACATGAGATTAAAGCATTAAAATCATAGTTCTCAATCTGAATACATGTTAAAAAAATCAAAAGAAACGCAGAAGTGCTAGCTCACATTTTTACCATATTACAAAAGCAATTGGTACCCATGTCCATAAAGGCAGCAACAAAGCTGCTTGTCTATTGAAGATTACTACTGCAAAGTGGACTGCATTCAATGCTAGTTGTAAAAACACCAGCTTTTCAGAAGTTGGTATCTGTACAAAATTGCAGCTTATTTTCTTCACTTCTGTCCCTTCAAAAGTCTTTACACAGTAATGCTAAAACACCCAGCTTTGAGATCCTGAGTCAATATATTGCCACTTTCTTTTTGGTAGCTTGAGCATCATAGTGTCAACTGACCTTGTGTATCCATTTTTAATACAGTCTCTTCCTGTAGCATGGGCAAATATTTTAAATCTTCTTCCAAAAAAAAAGTTTTTAAGTTATGATGTTAGAATGGCAGGACTTTTTCTTTAGGAAAGGAATTCAGTTGTGCTGCAATGTATTAGATTCTATAGGTGGAGCAGAGTCATATAGTGTATCTGTATCATGTGTAGGCTCACCAGCTAATGTACAAGGATTAGACAGTGTTCCAGCACCACAGTCACAGAAAAACCTAAGGCAAAATGAAAACCCAAAAATTAGGAAAGTGAGGGGGGGAGTGGGGGAGTGGGGAGGGAGAACTGGATAACAAAGCAAGAAGGGGGCTACATACCTATCATGTCTAATAAATTCTACATCATGTCCCTGATGGCACTTCTTAATGCAGTTCACACATATGGCATTTCGGTCTGTGGTATTACAAGTGTGACATCTGAAAAGCAAATACTTGCGTTATTTTTCTTGAATATTTCACTCAAAACACAGTATTTTGTTTTTGGCTTATATTAGGACCAATTGTGGCCCCAGCCCCAATTCTAAAAAGAAACTTCAATGAAGTGAATCTTGTATTTTCTGAGGAAAAGGAATGGATGTAGATATACACGGAATAAAAGCAGTTTTAAAAACTTTTCAGCTCCTATTGAGTCTTTGGGCTGAACCGATTTGTGGAAGTAATAGGAGTCAAAACTCGCAGTAATTAGGATAATGACAGCTTTACTTGGAAACTGAAGAAAACTGTTGAAAATAAACCCTGTTTTGTATTTGATATACCAGTTAACTATAGTACTGCATTTTCTCTTTGTGGATGTAAATACAATTTATAATTTTCAGTTAATTTTCTTTATTGCCAGAGGTGGGAATAAAGCCCACCCACAGTAGGGTAGGCTTATCAGCTTGGTTTTGAAGCTGCCCTGTGCTGGGCTGGCTATGGAGATCCAGATCCCTTATCCACTGATTTCTCACCCGTTAGTTTCTTAATTTTGTCAAACAGCCAAAAACACCATTGCAAATCACTGCCCTTCCCTTTTTCAGGACTCAGAAGAAATTAGAAATATACCTGTAGAAATCATGCATGGGATAGCTGGTGTAACTTGATATTTTATATAAACATTGGCCTCTGCTAACAGCCTTTTCTATGGCATCTTGATTGTTCATTATTTTGTTATCTGTAACAAAAAAGGGGAGAGCTAGAGAATGAAGTAATAGTAAGAAATTAGAAGTAAATTTTCCTGTGCAAGATACTCCCAACTATTTACAGCTATTTTAAACAAGGCTTTTACTTTTTTCAAATTAGTTCTCTAGGGACCAGCAGATGGCATAATGGCTATGCTAGACTCCCAAGTAGTTAGCCACGGTTTACACTGGGCGTGTGCACGTGCATGCCTAAGATCCCTGGAAGAGAAGGGATTGTGGCCTGGCCATCCCCCCCTGGGGGGTGATTTCTTGCTTTCTGTCTCTGTCTTTCTGGAGAGCGCTTGTGCTCTATATCAAAAACCTCTTAAAAACAAACCAACCAATGACTTCTGATTATCATTATCTTTTGATGGCAAGTATCATGTATTTATAGGCAGAATGAACTCCAACATACCTTTCATTGTAACATTAACACCAGATGCTAAAAATAAGCCTCCAAACCGGTTGTTAAAAATCTGATTGCCTTCTAATGTTGCAGTTGCATGATTTGTAATTTCAATACCTAAAGTAAAATTTACAGATGCTTCACGTTATATAATTTCTTAAAAGAAACCTAATAACAAATGTAAGCTTTTTAATATAAAAAGTACATTAATCCTCTTAACACCTTTACTTAAAAAAATGTGAATATTTGAATCACTGAAAGTAACATTAATTTTTCACTGTAAACAGTCCACTATCTTTTCTAAAGATTACAGATGGTTCATAACTTACTATTTAAATTTGTTTTCTTTACTCACGATATACTGTACAAGAGAGAGAACACCCTTTAATCCTCTACAGGGTCTCGTCATGTTGTTATCCCCTTTAGTTCTCCAGCCTGTCAGATCCTAGACACTCATGTGCTTGCCTGATTTGTCTCAGGCAGATTGGGCTGATTTTAGCCTCTGCTCCCACATGGTATTCAGATTTTGACTTTAGCAATGCATCACCACTGTGCCACAGAGCGAGCCCCTTAGTATTTTTATTAATGTTTGATTTCTCTGTGAACTAGAAAAGAATAGTGCCTAGGAGTATGCTTAAGTTAGTTGGCTGCTGGTTTACATATTGAAGAGAAATGGAAGCCTAAAGTTACCTGAAATAATTAGAAATACTTACCTTCATTGGCTAAAGGTATAAATGGCCAAGTAGTGTGCATATGCACATGCATACAAATAAATACATATTAACTATCTGTACACCTGTAACTGACATCAGAGAGCTTAAATGTATATTCCTAACAATAGTACAAATCTATTCTAGCCCAATTAATGTTTCACAATTACTACTAAATGGTAAAGGCCACGTTTCTTACATGTTTTTTGGCTTAAGAGTGAGAATCCAGAACCTGGATTGGGTGTGACAGCTATTGTTAATAGGCTTTTAGCCACTTTGGCAACACACTTTTAGTTAACACGAAAGATAGTTAATATACCACACTTGACAGAACTATAAACAATTCAGAGATAAAAGAAAATACAAACCTGCAGCAAATCCATCAAATATTCTATTTTTCCTTAAGATTGGATGACTATTAGTGCTGATGAGAACACCTGCTTGAGCATTCCTGAAAATATCATTTTCTTCAAGGAGACCTATAATAAAATATTTTCTTAGATTAAGGCTAATACATGTACACACTTTACTGGCCTTTCTGGTTGGTTGTATTTAGGTTTTCTCAGCTGTACTGTAGAAATCTATAGAACTATTTTTTTTTCAGCCAAAAATAAAGTTTATTAGTAATTTAGAGGTATATAAGGTAGAATTTAGCCAAAAATTGTTTTAAAATTACAGGCAAGAGCATTCTAACCAGTACCCTGAATGTTCATGATAACAAGGGCCAATGATGTCTATTTTACTTGCTACCTTGTCCCCAGTACCTGGTACATACTCTCAATGAATGTTCAGCGAGTTAAAATTAATTTTGAAGTATTTCTAGAACTCTTGTACCCTCTATTAGTTCAGGCAAGTACTCATTTCTGGCCTTTATTACTACTACAGTTATTTCCTGAATGTCTTTCTTTATTCCAGTATCTTCATCTGCTGCATAATCCCAGTCAGTTTCCTGCAATTTCTTTTTTTTTTGGAGAGGTTTTTGCTAGAGGGTGCATGCGCTCACCAGAAAGAGACAGAAAGTGAGAAATCACCCCCTGGGGGGGTGATCACCTGCAATCCCTTCTCCATTCTCTCAGGATCTTGGGGACACACATGGACGTGCCCGGCGTGAGTTTAAGCAACCGGGTCTGGGACTCAAACTGTGGTCAACTACATGGGAGTCCAGAAAAATAGCCATTATGCCAACTGCTGGTCCCAGTTTCCTGTAACTCTTCATGTGCCTCTTCTGCTTACAAAACTTTCAGAATGAAGCTTAGAATCAACTTGTTAATTAATACTTTTAAAAATAATATCCCAATTTGTTTGTCCCACTACATTGTATGTCCTGTAAGCTACACATTTTTATCCTTGATGTCTTAGTTAATGTTATTTTTTCCTGGAATATCCTGCCTCTTTATTCCTAATGTCATTTTCTCCAGGAGGTTTTCAGTTTCTCCATCTTCTGGAAGTGTAACAAAAACTGAGTGAGCTAAGAATCAAACTTCAGGCTTTCTAATATTGTCTCCACCACTGACTCAATGAGTGGGTGGGCAAGTTACTTACCTTCTTTTTATCTGTTTTCACATCCATAAAATGAGTATAATATCACTTACCACATAGGGTTATTAGGAGGATTAAGTGAGTTTATACATTAATACATGGTACTAAATAAGGAGCTACTATTACTGATAAAACCTATATACAGTGAATTATTTAGTAGTATACCTGCAATTTCTCTGCTACTTGAAGATGTGACAAGTGTTTTTATTTCTGTAGAGATGTGACCCAATTCACATATCACTAGTACAGACCTCTAAATGCCTTTCCTCTACATGACAGGGCAAAATCCCTCTGAAATGACTCAGGACTGCTTGGATTCCTCTTTTCTGTTAACTCTTTAGATATTAATATTTCAGGGTTCTGTCCTTGGCTCTCTTTTCCCTCTTTAGATGTTTATTCATCTTCCAAAGGCTATAACAATTACATATATGCTGCTATTTTTGTTGTTATTAGAGGATGCATGCAATCGCCAGAGAGAGGAGAGGAGAAAGCACTCCCCATGGGGAATGGATACATTACAATCATACACCATGGTTTTCTAAAGCTAACAGCTCTGGGGCTTGAACCATGTGGTTGGCCATGTGAGATCTGGCCCCCTTAACCACCAGGCCATGGAGCCAGCTCAGCTAATTGTTAAACCTGTTTATTTTAAAGCTAGAGTAATTAACCTTTTGGTTACACTACCTTGGATAGCCCTAGGACAACTTTGGATTCACTATCCTTAGAACTGGCCTTACTGAAGTTTTCCAGAAACCAGTTTTTCATATATTTCTTATTTCAGTGGAAGGCACCCCTCAGTATTCACCCAAATGAGAATCCTGACCATCATGTTTCACTCCTCATTTAACTCCAAATTCAATCAATGATCCACTTCTACTCTTTTAAACATCATTAATATGTGCTCTTTTTCCACCTTCATAATTTAGGCTTTCTACATTTTTTTGTCTCAAATATTCCTAGTATCTGTTCCTAATCTTGCATACTTCCACTATGTCCCTCAAGTGCTATTGCTAAGATGGAATCTAAACTCCTTACTGCAAGTAAAAAAAAATTTATGATTTGGGGCTTGCCCCATCTCTAGTCTAAACTTAGGATGTCTTGCCTTACTAAACCATATTGTTTCCTATAGACTTTGGTTTACAATGTGCCACTCCATTAGACTAATGTCCATTAGACATTAAAATTTATGAATGTAATACTATTTTATTCACCATTGCAACTTTAGCATATGTATTACAGTAGTTGGAACAGAGGTGTTCAATTAGTATTTACAGAACAAATAAAAGTGGAATAATTGTACCTGGAATGGCCTGCTCACCCAGCCCCCTTTTGCCAGTGAATTCTAATTGTTTTTCAAGACACGGCTCAAGAGTGATTTTGTGAGTGAACCTTCATGATACCTTGCAAATAAACCAACCATTTGGTGCTGTGTGTCTTCCTTTATCTTATAAAGATTCCTATCAGAAACATTTTATTGAATTACTAAACTACTTGAGAGTTTGTATCATTAATGGAATCATAACCATTTGGCTAAAAATAGTAAATTTTGTTCATTAAATCTTGGTATGTATGTTAGAGTGATAACTGGCTATCTTTTCAAATAAGATATGTACAATCTTGGATTCTTGACAGTTTAGGAACAGTGTTGGATTTATATCTGGCATTCTCTCTCAATCTCTCTTCACAAATAGCATGCATATGCAAGTGACAGGCACTTCGAGTTGACCTTTATGGATACCAAACCAGGCACACCCTATGTGCATTAGTTCCATTCTCCAACAAACACAGTTGTAAACAATTACAAAAGCAATATCACTTACTATAAACATTTTCATATATTTACAGACCAATGAATTTCTCAGACCTAGTTCTATAACTTGATTTTGAAGTTTATTATAAACATCACTATTTCTGAGTAATCAAAGGTCCAAAGAGAGGATATAAACAAATCTACTGTGTTTCTGACAACTGGCAGTAAAGGAGGCTACAAAAAGGGGGTGGAGGGAAGTACTGTAATATTTGTCTCCTTTTATTCTAGGCTCTAATCTAAACCTTCTGAAGACTTGGTAAGGAAAAAAAGACTGAGATTTACTCACTTGTTATTAGTTGGCAATGTCATTGATCATTAAAGATATGGAAGAATAATGGAAAACTGGGTTTTTCACTAGTGCAAAATTAACAACAATACCTCGACCCCCATTAAATATACAGATGCCACCATCTCTTCCATCATGGATTTTATTTCTTCGTAGTGTAGGATTACTGTCTGTCTTAATCCATACTCCAGCCATTGCATTATCAAATATTTCATTGTCTTCTATACATCCTAGACCTGTAAATGCAAAATTTGATGTTATATAATTTAGAAGGTGTATGTCTAGAAGGTGTATGTCTAATGTTTATTAACAAAAAGATGATAGATGAAACATACCAGAATTATAAACTAGAATTCCACCATTCTGTCCTCCCCAGATTTTGTTGCGTCTAATTTTGGGGTTGCTTCCAGTCCTATGGATAAAGTAGAAAATACCATTTCAACTGCTTGTATTCCTATATCCCATATTACATGATGTAACAGTGGAGAAATCCATATTAATCATAGTAATTAACTATACAATGGAGTCTTTTAAGATGCTTTGAGAAGTCTATCAGTGAGGACAGTGGTTTAAATTAGTTTAACCCTGTATTTCCCACAGAACATACTTTGCTATAAATAAATTACCACAGGGTTTCCTACTAGGTAAGCTATCATAAATTGAAGGGATTAGATTGAATATTTTATTACCAATTTATTATAATATACACCTTCATATGTAAAATGAAGGGTTGAATTATGATCAAGACTCTATAGAGTTTTGAAAACTGTTAAAATATAAGAGAGGGTACTAAAAAAAATATGAATTTTTCAGAGATGTCATACAAACAGAAGTTCCCATTTTACTGAAATGTCAGCGACATGTCAGCCATAATGCACAAATAATTTTACACAGACTTCCACTCTTCAAGGATGAGGGAGCGCATTGGCAGCTGATGTGACTCAGTGGATGGCAAAACAGAAATGAGCTCTAAAGGCATATCTGCTTTGGCTCCTGTCCTCACCTAGACCAAGAAAAACTACATTCTGAAAATTTGAATCAAGTACAACAAGAATATGAAAATAAATACAACAGGGATAAAGATCAGATGTTAGGGAGTGGGAGAGAGGAGCTTAGAAAAAAAAAAAACACATTATAAAGGAAATTATGTATGGTAATATCTTTGACTGTTTAACATGCACTACATTTATGTTTTGAGAACCCATATTGTATACTATAGAGATACAATGATTAAATGTAAGTAATTTTTTAAAAAAATGGTAATCTCAAAAGGTCGCACACACACAAAGTTTAAGATTAAACAGAAAAAAAAAGATTGGACATTAAATATGGAAATTTCTTCCATATATCTTACATATTCCCAACTCCCTCCCAAAAAAAAGCCAAAAGAAAGTGAAACATTTACCTTATCTGAACCCCTGAATACATATGATTATAGATATCATTGTCTTCTAGCACTCCATGTCCATTGTCATAAAAATAAACACCAACCTAAAATCAAAAAAAAATTTTTTTTAAGTGACAAGTGTTTACAGAACAATTTATTTCCCTTCCAAGAGTCCAAGCTAATCCTACCTGCTTGCCACTGTGTATCCGGTTTCTCCTCAGTACTGGAGTGCTGCCAGTTGTCACCCAGACGCCGGCCAGGGTATTACTATAAACTTCATTTTCTTCTATTACACCTTGTCCTTTTTCATGCTAAATAAAAGTTACACTGGTTAAGATACGCATCTTTTATAAGCAAGTACTTTATATTGTGTTGCTATCTTTTTATTGTGTTTTTTTTGACATAGGTCGCATGCACTTGCTGAAGGGAGACAGAGACAGGGAAAAAGGAGAAATCATTCCCTCCTCCAGGAATGGCAAGATCAGCTGATTGCCAAGATTTTCACTATGAACAGAATATAAAGATAGGGCCATCTCTAGGACAGTAAACAAAAATTAAAAATTACATCTAGGTAACACAAGGACCTTTCTGAGACTTATGTTTTCTTACTTGAATTAGTTGTAATAGTGTCAGATATGAGGACAGACGTCAAATGACTAGCACATGGGTTTCTTAATTATATTTCAACGTAGATTCAAATGAACATGTTCTTTTCAAAGATAAAAATTCAAATCTAGTATTAGTACTTGCAGTGATGTTATGCTTTTATATAGTGCTTTGGTAGAATTTTAGACTCATACAGTAGTCATACTGGCAAAATTCCAGTGTAACAAATATAACTAAGACTCCTGATCAGTTGTTTTGAGTTTAGCCTATATGTACAATAATATTTTATTGTTATCTTTTATTGTTATCTCCTATATCTAAATTTAGACAGCCAATGATTAAATGCTATAGAATACTATATATACACACTATCAAATTATAAGTCTTTCATATACTGGCAGTAAGAACAAGGGTGCTACTGTCTAAATATTAAAGAGTAACAAATACTCAACAAATTGAAAATGGTCTATCTAAAACTGTATATAATTCCTCCAATTCCTGTCCTACTTTTTTTTATATGAGAGAAAGAACAAGGAAGAGATGGAAGGGGAGAGAGAAAAGAAGGGGGAGATAGAGAAAGGTATTTTTGAAAGACTCTTGCCATGCCACTATTCGTTCCCAGTCTTAGCTAGTGAAGACCATGGATATTTGTATCACAACTGGCTGATTTAGGTTGGGCTGGGAACTGAACCCAGGCCTTCTATGTGACTTTAGCTACCCTACAACAGTGCCCTCCACTGGTGCCACCACACAGATAGGCCTTTTCTGGTTTAGATGCATGAATTTACAGAACTATATTCATTAACTTACCACATAAATCCCACCATGCTGGCCATCATGAATTTTGTTATGTCGAACAATTGGACAACTGTTTGTCCTAATCTGAATTCCTGCTAATGCATTGCCTATTTAAAAATAAAAGTTACAATGTCAACATCTGGAGCCTACTGGAACATAGTAAAAGTTCTCTGTTAAGTAGTGGTTAAAATTCTTACACTAGAATTTTAGTGGGTTTTATGAAACAAAAGTACAAGAGCTGGAAACACTGGGTCAGCCATGCAGCATAGTGGTTAAGAGAGATGGATCCCACATGGCTGACTGTGGTTCAAATACCAGCCCTGGTGGCTTGAAAAACATGCCAGGTATGTGTTCATGCATGCCTCTAAATTCTGACATGGTGTAGAAATGAAAAAGACTGACCATTCCTCACTGGGCCACTGGAGACTCTTCTTCCTCTCTTGTCTCTCTCTGGCAAGTGCACACTAACAGTTAAAAAAGAACTAGGAATATAAATAGATGCAGAAGGACTACAGACAGTAAAGTATAGTAGTTAAGGGATGAGACTCTGGAGCCAGGCTGTGAAGTTTTCAGTCTCAGAAACTTAGATTGTTGCGAAAGTCAAGATGCATTTTTGCATGGAAAAACAAAAAATACGTCATGACTTTCCTAACAACCTGATACTTATTTCCTGTGTGACTTTCTCTTTTCTTTATTCAGTATAGAGCATGTACATGTTCAGAAGGAAGGAGAAAGAGAGATGAGCACCCTATATAGGTCGGGTCACAACAAGATCTTTTTCTTATAGTCCTCCAGCTCATTAGAACATGAGCACTTGTGCATGGGCCCATTGTGTTTCACGCTGACTGGGCTGGGTATTTGAACCTTAATAGCCACGTGGGATCCAGTTTCTCTTGAGAATCTTTCTGCTGCACCACACAGCTGACCTTTTCTGTGCAACTGTGAATAAGTTAGTTCACCTCTCTGTGCCTCTGTCCTGAATTGATAAGAAGGGACTTTTGAAAAAAAGTTATGTATTTATTTAATTCCATTTGTTATTATTTTTTAATTTGACCAGAAAGAGACAGGGAGAGAGAGAAAGGGAAAGTGAGAAAGCAAGCTGCCAGGTCCAGGACTATAACTTCAGTCAGCCAATTGGATGTCCAGCACCTCAACCACCACACCAATGTGCTAGCCCCCAAAAGGTGGGAATATTTAATAGTATCTCCTTCATAGGGTTGAGATAAATATTATGTGACTTAGAACAGGACCTGTCACTAAGCTTTATGTAAGTATTATCCAAGCAAGTGTTAGGATAAGCGAAAGCCCTGGAACATACTGGTGTCTGGCACAAAGATATCTAAATAATTATTTGCTGAATTAATGCTTCTAAATCTTTTCAAGACTCAAGTATTTCCCTTCTCTATTTAGCACATAGCACACTATACTACCAGAGAAACAGCATAATGCCTGGTATTTTGTAGATACTTCAGTGAATGTCTGTTAAGTGAATAAATATCACAGAATAATCTTTACTAAGAATTTAAAGAAACTGGATCAATTCTACTTGGGTGGTTTTGTAATAGTACATTTTGCTAATATTAAGAGAATAGTCCAGCGTAAGTTTTACAGAACAAAACCATTTGCTTACCATAAATGTCATTTCCTTCAATAAGGCCTCGTCCATCACCAAAGATGTAAACTCCTCCTTGATTTCCATTGAATATAGAATTCCCCCTATAATCATTTGAAATAATAAAAATTAAGCATCTATTTAGCAAAGCTTACTTGTTTTATAAAACTACTGTATAAGAACATTCATGGTTATGTAACAAATTATTTAACTTCTTTTTTTCTTTTTGGAGAGGTTTTTGCTATAGGGCACATGCACTCACCAGAAAGCCAGAGAGAGACAGAGAGACAGAAAGTGAGAAATCACCCCCCAGGGAGGATGGCCACGCTGCAATCCCTTTTCCTCCATTCTCCTCTGGGGATCTTGGGCACACATGCGCCTGGCTTGAGTTTAAGCCACCGGGTCCAAGACTCGAACCACAGTTGACTATATGGGAGTCCAGCAACATAACCATTATGCCAACTGCTGGTCCCAAAATTATTTAACTTCTATGAGGCACATAGACTACATAATTTGAAAATTCTCTTTTAGTTCTAAAATCTATAGTTTTGGGAAAACCATCTATTATTTGAAACAAAATAGCATTCTTTAAAATTCCCCTTAAAATAACTGCTATAGACAAAATAAGATTTGGTTGCTCTAGAAATATTTGATGAATACATCACTAGGATGGAATCTGATAATCTACTTTCAAAAATTATTACTTTTAAAATTTGCCATAGGGAATATGTGCTCACTGAAGAGAGACAGAGAGAGGGAAAGTGAGAAAGTACCTCTCAGGAGGGCCAACCATGCCACAATCCCTTCTTCACCATTCTCCTCTTGGGATTTTGAGCATGGATACATACATGCCTGGCATCATATTCAAGCTGCCAGGTACAGGATTGACTCAAACCACACAGTCAGTCATTTGGGATCCTGCCACCTTAGCCACCACAACCCTGGCTGGCCCACCATAATCTACTTTTACAAAGTTAGTAGAAGATAAAATTTAACAATTAAAAGTATGTTCCAATAGGGACCAGCAGATGGTGTAATGGCTACACCACTGAACTCCCATGTAGTTGACTGCTGCCCAAGATCCCGAGAGGAGAATGGAGGAAAAGGGATTGTGGCATGGCCACCCGACTTGGGGGGTGATTTCTCGCTTTCTGTCTCTTTCTGGTGAGTGCATGTGACCTATAGCAAAAACCTCTCAAAAATGCCGTAAAAAAAAAAACCCACAAAAAAAAAAAAAAAAAAAAAAAAAAAAGTATGTCCCAACACTCTTGGTAGATGCCTAAAACTGTGGATATTACTAAAACCTATATATGCTATGTTTTTCCAATCTGATAACCAATATGGATACTGAGTGACTAGTATGTAAGTGGTAGATTCAGTGTGGATATCATGATTCATGTCTCCAGCGAGATGAGAGATTTTACAATGCTACTCAGAATGGCGCACAATTTAAAACTTATGACTTGTTTATTTATGGAATTTTCCACTTAATATTTTTGAACTGTAGTTGACGATGGATAAAGGGAGACTACTGTATAATATCTATGTTCTATACTCTTGGCCAATAAGGCCAGATCTGTTCACTTCCAGAGGAGGCGGTAAGAACTCTGAGGAGAATGTGACAACTTGAAGTCTTGACTTTGATACTCTTAGTCTCCTTCCTAGAATCTCAAAGATAATTAGTTTCCTTAGTCATTCTATCTGCTGACTCTTAGAAAACAGAGAAAAGACAAGTCTTTCAGGTTCTAATGGAAGGTTACAACCTTATTTATTCATCTTTAATGCAGTTTGATGAATTTCAAGTAAAAACCATAGGATTTGCAATTGTTCATAAATATGGTAGATGGCTTAGATCACTAATAAGAACCAAACAATACACTAAAAACCAAAAATGCAATAGCTCTGCTTATTCAGCTATGCAGAATTTTACTATGAAAATAAAATAGAGTTCTAGGGAAAACTTTAAAAGGTTCAAGCTCAGTATCTTTACATTTCTTGTAAGACAAACCCTGAAATGAAAAAGTAATTTCCATATATAATTATACATAAATACCTTATTGTTGGGTCACTATTTGAGGTAATCCATACACCTGCAAAATTGTTTGCATAGATTTTATTTTCTATGAATTGTCCTCTTCCTTTTTCATGAACATATATTCCTCCAGTCTGTCCATGGTGAATTTCACATCGAACCACTGTGGGGTTAGCATAGGCTTTTACTTCAAAGCCTGCTATCCTGTTTCTGTGTATGTTGCAACTTTCAAAATAACCCTGAAAAACATAGATATTACATCTGTAGGTAAAAGGTCCTTTTCAAAAAGAAATGCCACTTTAAAAACTTTTTAATGTATTTATCTGTATTAGAAATGTTCAAGAGTAAAAATAAAAAGCAAATATGTATTAAACTTTACTTGATAAACATAAAAAACTAATGCTTTTCAGGACCAGCAGTTAGCATAATGGCTATGTTGCTGGACTCCCATGTAGTCAACCGCGGTTTGAGTCCCGGACCTGGCGGCTTAAAACTCACGTTGGGCGCGCGTGTGTGTGTGACCAAGATCCCTACAGGAGAATGGAGAAGGGATTACGGCATGGCCATCCCCACTTGGGGGGCAATTTCTCGCCTTCTGTCTCTCTGTCTCTCTGTCTTTCAGGCGAGCACATGTGCCCTATAGCAAAAACCTCTCCAAAAAAAGGAAAAATATATGTCCTGAAAGAAAAAACTTTCAAAAAAAAAAAAAAAAAAAGAAAAAGAAAGAAAATAAGAAAATAAGCCCTGGTTGCCTTAAAAAATGTCCCAACAAATCAACTTCTAAAAGTTGACCTAAGAATATTGAAATTTACAGAAAGAGCAATACAAAATAAAGATGTAGATAAAATAAAAATTAGTCTAATCACAGGAAACTAGCTAAATAAAAACATTTTGAGAGGCCAGTCTCACAGTCTTGTGGTTAAGGGAGGTGGATCCCACATGGCTGACTAAAGTTTGATTCCTGGCACTGGAAGTTTGAAAAACATGTACATGTGTGCTCCAAATCCTGACAGGACAGAGAAATGGAGAAGTGATTACTCCCCATTGGTGGTTGTTTTCTCCGTCTCTCTTTCTCTTTGATGAGCACTCATGCCCTCTGGTAATTACAAGAAAAATTTGGGAGGGCGAAGGAGAAGACTATGTTAAATGGAAAGAAGAAGTTTTAAAACAATTTGAAAAGAATGGAAGGAACCCTTCCAAACTCACTTTATAAAGCCTTCATTATCCTCATCCCCAAACAGGTAAGGACACGACAAGAAAGGAAAACTACAGACCAATATCTCTGATCAATATAGATGGAAAAATTCTTAACAAGATACTAGCAAATTATATCCAACAACATACAGAAACAATTACACATCATGACCAGGTAGGCTTTATTCCAGGGATGCAAGGGTGGTCCAACATATGCAAAACCATAAACGCAATACACGATATTAACAGAAAGTAAGATAAAAACCATATGATCATTTTGATCAATGCAGAGAAAGTATTCAATAAAATACAACATCCTTCATAATTAAGACTCTCAGCAAAACTGGCACAGAAGTGTCATTTCTCAATACAATAAAAGCCATCTTTGAAAAACCCATAGCTAACATCATAATGTTGAAACACTGGTACAAAACAAGGCTGCTCACTTTCTCCACTTTTCAGTATAGTGCTGCAAGTCCTAGCCAATGCAATCAGAAAAAAAGAATAAAATAAAAGGCAATCATATAGGGAAAAAAAGAGGTGAAATCATCTCTATTTGCAGATGACATGATTGTATACATAGAATACCCAAAGATATCCATGAAAAACTCCTGGAAGTAATACAGTGAGGAAAAGAAAACCTCTTTAGCAAATGGTGCTGGAAAAACTGGGTATCACCTGAAGAAAAATTAATCTGGACCCCATCTCTCATCATTAATAAAACCTCAAACTATAAAACTACTGGAGGAAAACACTGGGGAAACTCTGGGAGACATCGGAGTAAGCAAAGACTTTTAAAATAAGACCCCTAAAGCACAGGCAATAATCCCAAAAATAGACAAGTGGGATGACATCAGATTAAGAAATTTCGGCACAGCAAAAGACAAAATAATTAGTGTGAATTGACAACCCTTGGAATGGGAGAATATTTCTGTAAACTATGCCTCAGATAAAGGACTGATCAACCCAATGAAAAGATGAGAAAATTAGCTAAACAAACAACTCTCTAAGGAAGACATACAACCAACCAAAAAGCAAATGAAAAAATGCTCAACATCTCTCATCAAAAGGGAGATGCAAATCAAAACCAAATGATACCACCTAACTCCAGTCAGAATGGCTAAGACTGAAAAAAACAAAAAGTGGTAAGTGCTGGTGAAGCTGTGGTGAAAAGGGAACTCTCCTACAATGTTGGTGGGAATGTAAATTAGTACGGTCACTGTGGAGACCAATATGGAGTTTCCTCATAGAACTACAGCTAGTCCCAACTTAGGAGTAAATCTAACCAAAGAAGTCAAAGACCTCTACAAGGAAAACTATGAAAATCTAAAAAAAGAAATACAAGGGGCTGACAGGGGGTGTGATAGTTAGGGGCGCTGGCCGACCACACAGCCAACTGCCATTTGTATCTTGAACCTGGCAGTTGTGCTTTCTCACTTTCTCCCTCTCTTTCTCACTCTGTCCCTCTCTGGTCAAATTAAAATAAATAAATAGAGTTAAGTAAAATAATTCTGAAAAAAAAAAGAAAGAAATAGAAAATGACACAAAAAAGAGGAAGGACATCCTGTGTTCCTGGATTAGAATATAATCAAATCAAAATGGCAATTCTATCCAAATTCACCTACATATTTAACACAATCCTAATAAAATTACCAGAGACATTCTTCATAGATTTAGAAAAGACAACGATAGAATTTATCTGGAATCATAAAAGATCCTGTATTGCCAAACCAATCCTGCACAAGAAGAGCGGAATAGGAGGCACCTCACTCCCTGCCCCCAAAATTTATTACAAAACTGTGATAATCAAAACAATAAGGTATTGGCACAAAAACAGGTATGTGAACCAATGGAAAAGAATAGAGACCCCAGAAATAAACCCCAAAACATACAGTCAGCCAACTGATTTTTGACAAAGGACATCAGTCAATACAGTGAGGAAAAGAAAACCTCTTTAGCAAATGGTGCTGGAAAAACTGGGTATCACCTGAAGAAAAATTAATCTGGACCCCATCTCTCATCATTAATAAAACCTCAAACTATAAAACTACTGGAGGAAAACACTGGGGAAACTCTGGGAGACATCGGAGTAAGCAAAGACTTTTAAAATAAGACCCCTAAAGCACAGGCAATAATCCCAAAAATAGACAAGTGGGATGACATCAGATTAAGAAATTTCGGCACAGCAAAAGACAAAATAATTAGTGTGAATTGACAACCCTTGGAATGGGAGAATATTTCTGTAAACTATGCCTCAGATAAAGGACTGATCAACCCAATGAAAAGATGAGAAAATTAGCTAAACAAACAACTCTCTAAGGAAGACATACAACCAACCAAAAAGCAAATGAAAAAATGCTCAACATCTCTCATCAAAAGGGAGATGCAAATCAAAACCAAATGATACCACCTAACTCCAGTCAGAATGGCTAAGACTGAAAAAAACAAAAAGTGGTAAGTGCTGGTGAAGCTGTGGTGAAAAGGGAACTCTCCTACAATGTTGGTGGGAATGTAAATTAGTCTAGCCACTGTGCAGAACAATTTGGAGGTTCCTCAAAGATCTACAAATAGAACTACCATATGATCCAGCAATTCTACTCCTGGGTATTGACCCAAAGGATAGGAGAATGCTCAGTTGGAAAAATGCTTGCACATCTATGTTTACTGCAGTATTATCACAATTGCTAAGACATGGAACCAACCCAAATGTTCATGAACAGATGAAGGGATTGAAAAGTGTGGCACATATACTCCATGGAATACTACTCGGCCACAAAAAAACAAACAAAACAAAACAAAACAAAACAAACCCTGGCATTTGATAGAAAGCGGATGAATATGTAAGATTTACTGCTGAGTGAAGCAAACCAGGCTATGAACGAGAGACATTGTGTATCTCACTTAATATATACCAACTGTCTGCACTCTATACTGGAAATCAAAAGAGGATATAGAAGCATTGAAAATGGTTATGGATTCTGGAGAAAGTGTGGGAAGAGGGTTGTTGAGAGGAAAGGAATCAAGGAGAAAAACAGAGAAGCAAGACATTTATGGGACACAGAAATACTATGTGTATAGTATCTTCCACTGGACTGGTGTGAAGTGTATTCATATTGGGTAAATTCGCTTTATAAGATGTAGTGATGTACAGTGATTGGATGTATAAAAGAAATTAAAAATAACTAAACGAAAAAAAATAATTAGGCCTAGTATTATCAGCTGCTCACCCCGTCACATACACAGTGAAAACTTCTGCCAAGTCATGTTTGATGAAATCCCCACATCCTGTTCTTCCGCATTCACCCAAGTATGTCCCCTACTTATTTTGCCTGACAAGGTGGGGCAATGCAAACCACTCCTAAATAGCTAAACTATACAACCAAATTCAAGCAATTAAAACTGAATGTTTAATTATTAGGGAAACCATTCAAATATCAAAGTTTCACTGATTCTTTTTAAATCTTCAAAACTCTTATATAAAATTTACAAGAAACTTTGAACAAATTATTGCTCTCATCCTCTTGAAAAACAAAGTTCAAAGTACAGACTCAATGTTTAAAAAAAATCTGGAAGGCTGAAATAACACTATGAAGAGGTGATTATCTAAATAGTAGGATTGTGGAGGAATTTTTACACTTTTCTTTACATGTCTTTGGAATTTCTTGTTTCCTATAATGACAATGTTTTACTTCTTAATGAGAATAAAAGTTATTATAATACTTATTTTCTAAGTCAACTCAATTAAGGCTGAATATTAAGAGGGAGACAGTAAGTTACATTTCTTTTAGCACTAAATATTTCTTTTTTTTTTTGGAGAGGTTTTTGTTACAGGGTGCGTGCGCTCGCCAGACAGAGAGAGAGAGAGAGAGAGAGACAGAAAGCGAGAAATCATCCCCCGGGAGGATGGCCACGCTCCAATCCCTTATCCTCCATTCTCCTCTTGGGATCCTGGGCATGCATGCACATGCACATGCACCCGGCCTGAGTTTCAAGCCACCGGGTCCAAGACGTGAACCACGGTCGACTACATGGGAGTCCAGCGACA